CTCCCTTTGTTTAGAGAAACACCGTGAAAGGACAAGTCACTTGGATCATAATCTAATCCGACCATCTCCTCCAATCACAGGACAAATACGACATTTAATTTAAGTTGTCATTCCTTCTTTCGATATTTTTTATATTCTTTTTCAGATTCTTCTTCTTTTTCGGCTACTGCTACTGCTTCTTCTTCGTCGTCGTCTTCTCCTTCTTCTTCTTCTTCTTCTTCTTCTTCTCCTTCTTCTTCTTCTTCTTCTTCTTCTTCTTCTCCTTCTTCTTCTTCTTCGTCGTCGTCGTCGTCGTCTTTCTCTTATTTTTTTTATTTATTATTTTGTTTTATTTTCTTACTTTTTATTTTACTGAATTCTTCTTTTTCTTCTATTTCTGTCGACCTTTTATTTTTTCTTTCGAGGCTGCTTTTTTCTTTTCTTTTTTCTTTTTCATTTCTTCTTCTTTTTCTTCTGCTTTTTCGTCTTCTTCTTCTCCTTCTTCTTCTTCTTCTTCTTCTTCTTCTTCGTCTTCTTCTTCTTCTTCTTTTTCTTCTTCTTCGTCTTCTTCTTCTTCTTCGTCGTTGTCGTCGGTCTTCTTTACTTATTATTTATTTATTATTTTAATTTCTTTCTTTTTTTTGCAGTCTTCTTCTTTTTCTTCTATTTCTGTCGACCTTTTATTTTTTTTTCTTTCCAGACTCTGCTTTTTTCTCTTATTTCTTCTTTTTCATTTCTTCTTCTTCTTTTTCTTCTGCTTCTTCGTCTTCTCCTTCTTTTTCGGACATTTTTCTTCTTCTTCTATTTTTCAGCCTTCTTTCTCGACTTCACTTTTTATTTATTTCTTCTTTTCTATCGATCTTTTTCACATTTTCTTTTTTTGAGTATCTTTTTCTCTTCTATTTTTCACTCCATATTTTTCTTGTTTACCCTTTATTTAATCATCTCTTGCCTTCTTCCCTTCTTCCACCCCCCCTCTCTCTCTCACACACACACACACACACACACACACACACACACACACACACACACACACACACACGCACACACACACACGTTTAGTCTTTTTGACCCATTTCTTTGTTCTCCATTCCCTGTTCGTAGCTCTTTCTCTCACTGTCTTTAAATGCTGTTTTCTGATTGGCCGGCGGGTTTTCCTTTCTCTGATTGGCTACAATATCTGCTAGAGCGGCCCGCTTCTTCTTTTGCTGTGGTTGGAAGTTGCAGCCACCACTCTTCCCGGATCAACGCGTATTGGTTGCCCTCCTTACCCGATTGGCAACTGCCCAGATTCTAGCAGCACGCACGCAAGCAGCCGACTATGGGATGGAGCACAGCCCCACTCATTAACCGCTGCTGCTGCATACCATGAGAGACAGAAAGAAAGAAAGAAAGAAAGACAGACAGACAGAAGGAAAAATACATGTCACGTGAAATATTCGAATTGTAAGCTTATACCACACTGTGTCGTGCGTTCGATTCTCACAAGGCGTGCCGCATTACGACTTCGCGTTGCCGGAATTTTTCGAAGCATTTTTTTTGCTTTTTAACCAACATTTGATTAATAACTGGAAGCGTGGATAATATAACGATTATGAACTCTGAAAGGGAATTTTGCGTACTGAGTTCGGATCCTGCTTGATTCCGTTTTTTTTATATACTAATATCCACTCGGTACGGGACCCAAGTGCCACTCAAAGTAGAGGCTAGTGCGTAGTGTTGTATGAACACAAGAAAAGGTAAGAAGTGAAGTTCATCTACTTATGCAGGAATGATAACGATTAACCCTAGACTTGAAGAGTTCAAGATTGTAGTGATTGGGAAACATCCTGCCGAGTGTCTGTTCTTTAAAGCAGCAGTTTTTGGGAAGAAGCTGTGGAACTTCCTCCTTACTAACGGAATACGAAGGGAAGGGGGATGATTTCACCGTTCTGTACGTGTTATGGCGGGTAAGCGGTGGTAGGACCAAGGAATGTTGTTCGTCGGAACACATGCCATGAAAATACCGATAGAGAAACAAGAGGTTGGCGACGTTTCGCTTGTGAGAAAGAGGTTGTAGAGTGGGAAATAATTAATCATCCACAAGGCCGCGCTTGAATCACTACGCACTAATGTATCCGGAAAAGTTATAAATAAATCTATATAAGGTATAAATAAATAATCTAAAGTATGAATAAATCTATCGTGGCAACTCTTTTGCCTTGGCTGGCACACAGTCTAGGAGAAGGATAACTTTGAAATAATAAAAAAAAGACTGAAAATTAATGTGCTCTGTATGGCTTTTTTGCCCAAGACACATCCCGGCTGTTATGGCTGCAGTGCCCCAACGACCCCTTTTGCGGTCACAGGACTCGTGACGAGACTGTTTATTATTTTTTGATGAATATGTAAAGTTCGACAGATAACTGTTTACGATGATCCAGGTTCATCTGTAAATTGTTGAAGAAGATTGGGGCCTGGGTCTACACTTACAGAAATCTGCACTTCTTGGAACTAGGGCCGTTGCGTACTACCATCGAACTCTGATTGGGGGTCTCCGACATTGTTTGGTGACTCTCGCTATCTTATCAACATTTTGTAACTATTAAAAGATGAACATTTTCACGGATTTTGACGTCATTTGTTTTTCGTCCTAGTTTGTAAATTTTTTTCTCATGCGAAATCCCGAAAAATAACACTATAAAATTCTTTATTTTTTTTATCCATAATGTTGAATATGCTAAATTATTCGACTTTTTAAGAAGAAAAATTTCAAGTTCATGTTATAAATTGCTGTAAAACGTTGTTGATTAATCTAAAATAGAATGATCTATTATGACATGTGTCTAATTTGTATGTGGATAAATTGCATTTATTTTCAGTTGTTCTACTTAAATTTTTCATCTATACTACATATGATCTATTATTGCAATTGTTATTGTTACAATAAAATTTGTATTTTATATCAATACTACCTTATGAAAAGATGTAGTAGAGTTGGGAGACGTATCATAGATTCTGAGATCTCCGTATCATACATTCGATGGGGCCCCACGAGATCCTTACAACGGCCCGGCTTGAGTCCACTCGAAAGCTTCGAAAAGATCTCAAGTAATGATGAAAATTGTTTCATCCCAGTTTACGGGTTGTGTATAGTTGGGTCTTAGGATCAGTCTACAATGAGATTCGCTGTGTTTGCAGATCAAATAATAATAATAATAATAATAATAATAATTATTATTATTATTATTATTATTATTAGAGTTTTGGGTCGTTGTCCTCCCGAAAACACTGATGAAAGTGGAATACCCTGTGCGTTGCCCAACAACCTGAGTCAAGTTAATTCTATCGCAAATTCAAAGAGAAACATCACATTTCTACAGTGGTTGGTAATTGTACTGATTCCCATTTAATATGTGCCACCCAGTGTATCAAATATGACTTGATTTATGTGGGTTGCACAACAGAACAATTAAATAAAAGCTTCAATGAACACAGGTATGATGTCCGACACAACAATGTGACATCAACGGAGTTTGCAAAACATTTTATCACAAACGCCTGTAATTTCGACAAACACCTTAAGGTTTACATACTGAAAAAATATTTAGAATCTACCGACCTTTCGACCCTTAAAACGTATGAGGATAATTACACATGCAAACTACTAACTTCTCGGCCTCTAGGCATGAACAGAATGACAGGAGAGTTCTATACTTAGATTTATACTAAGTTGATTAATTCCTCTTAGTAACTAATTAATCAACTAACAGGAAATTCCAAGATGAGCAAGATCCCTATCATATTAAGCACGTTTTAGTTTCATGCCTTTCAGACCGGCTGCGTTTCATTCGTTTTGACACGTTGTTTAGTAGTACAGCCGTTTTTCATTACAAGACAAGCAAATAGTGCTGATCGGCCTTTAGTGTCATTCCTCGGTCCAGTGACCTTTATCGGCCTAGAAGAGTCTTGTATCGGGAATTAGTGGAGCGGGTCGTGAATAGTCCTCTCTGCGGCCGTTTTCGTTTATCGGCGACCGAGTTTCGCTCTTTCTAGTCTTGGGTGCCAGCGGTCGATTATCTCAGTAACCCTGATTTTTCGCTTACCTGGCGATTGGTTCGGAATAGGCTACCTCTCAATGACGTAGCCATCAGTACAACCGTTTTTCATTACAAGACAACCAACGTTTGTACAAAGACTTATAATTTTTTGGTAGATTTATATATTTTTATACCTGAAAATAGTTTTTAAATATAACTTGAAGAAGGCAGACATACTGTCGAAATATGTCTATTTCGTATAGAGAAAAACATTAATTCCCTTCCTTTCTACCGTGTGACGATGGCCAAGACGTAGGATATTTGACTGTTGTAAAATCAGTCAGATATCCTCATGCGTTTTAAGGGTCGATAGATAGTTGATAGATTCTGAATATTTTTTCAGCATGGAAGCCAAATTGAGAAGCTGCGATACAACGAAACAGTTTGTCTGTGGATGACTATATATATATATATATATATATATATATATATATATATATATATATATATATATATATATAGGCTGCATATATTCAAGTATGTTTCATTGAATAATATAAACATATTATGTCTATTTATTTTATAATAACCCTTTCTAGTTCTCTATGGAAAGATGTTAAGTTGAAAGTTGTTCTTAATGTTAATTTGAAATTCAACAAGTAAGGCGCCATAGTTTTTGTTAACCCAAGTACTTTCGATTTCCTTTGAGATAATTCTAAGTGGAGAACTGCGAAGAGAAACTTAATGTAACTGTGACAGTTGTGATGGTGATGTTCGTAAACACACGTGAACGACCTTGTTATAATTAAGACGATAACCAGAGCCTGCGGAGAGATCTTGATTGGGCCTTCGTCACAATAGGTAAGGAGTAGTAGATCCGATAGGCAAAAATAAACTACAGAAGAACTCAAACTTCATTCAAGTGATGCATTAATATTTAAGCTTACCTGTTAAAAGTTCAACGATAATTTTTATGTCGCCACTTAATTTAAAGACAAGCTGATGTTCGGAGGTCCTTACAATCTATCTATCTATCTATCTATCTATTATTCGCTTTTTAATTTGCACAAGGGTGTAGGTTCATCAAGCTTAGATTCTGGGGTTTTAGTTAATGTCCAAGCACTGACGCCATACATTAACCCCGCCTCTACAGTCGCTCGAAAGAATCTCTGTTCGCGGTTGCCTGGTAGATCACTCCCCCCTCCACACACACACCAAACACATACAACAGCACAATTGTCCAAATCATGTAACAGGACAATTGTCCATCCCTCAAAACCTAACTGAATATCTTTTTCTAGGTTTTCAGGCAAGACGTTTATCCATTTTGATATCATTTGTCGTAAGAATCACTGAAAAGCCCTTTAAGTCATTCAGCTAGAAAGAGAACAATTTAAAATCATTTTGTGTCAGCTCTACTGTCTTCCAAACTGAGCAATGGTGAGAGGAAAAAGATCATTCAGGCCTTCAGAAATGGTAACCAACATTCATACTTTGGCTTCCATCTTCATAGTCCATTCAAGAAACATCAAGAGAATGGTGAATAAGTTTTAAAAAGAGAGAACGGTAGAGAGGAGAACTAGATCAGAAGATCACAACAGGAAGATGGATTATCATTTCAACTTACAGCTAAAGCGATCAACTAGAAAAGATCCAACTCAGTCCATAAGACGTTTGGTATGTGAGAGAGGCGTTTTACCTATGACAGTTCAAAAAGCAGTGAAAAAAAGGTCTGGAAATGAAATCGTACGTGAAACCTGTGAGGCACCTTGTTACTTCAGGTCAAAATGTTTGAAGGTTAAAGGGCAAAGAAAATCATCATGAATAAGTTGGAAAATGATCCTGGAACAATATATATATATATATATATATATATATATATTTGAACTTCATTTCAATTCTTCATGACTTTCCGATCCTTATCTATGATTAATTAATGATGAACATGTCGTTTTCATTTATGATCGATTTCATCTCGATTATTCTATTAAGCTTGGAGAGTAATTATACATTCTTATTGTCCAAGAGAGTTATAAAAACCTCGGAGAATTCCAGTAAGATATCTTTAAGCATTTCTAAGATAGAACGGTTCAAATCCCTGGGAATTATTCGTTTAGATTTCTTAAAACGCAATCAAACATTAAATGCACATTTAGACGCCCGGCACCTGTAACGGATCCATAAAAGTTTAGCTGAAAAGCGAGCTGCGCTCGTCAAGAGGATGAACGATGTTCTCTATGGCAAGTCAAGGCCGCTTACAGCAAGAATAATACAGGAAAGCCCTTTAGAACTTGATTGGTTTGTTCTACCCTTCCCGGTGTGTGGGTACTTGACGCGGCTGGGCGAGTCGGGCCCTTCTGACAGCATGTCGCAGATCCTTTCCCCCACCCACTCAGATGACCCTACTCCAGGAAGGCCGATTTGAAGCAACGGTTTCCCAGGTCAATGTGGGCCTGTGTCTTCAACTGATCCTTGATCTGGTCGTCTTCCTGTTGGCGAATTCTCCAAACAGTATGACACGGTATTAAGTTCTTATAATTATTTAATTTTGAGGCAGTGAATTGACAAAGATAAATTACCTGAACTAACCCCAAAATCCGACATCGATAGAAGGAAGGTTATCTTGATCGTGTAGTGGGATCGTCAGGGAATTATTCGTTTAGATTTCTTAAAACGCAATCAAACATTAAATGCACATTTAGACGCCCGGCAACTGTAACGGGTCCATAAAAGTTTGGCCGAAAAGCGCCCTGCACTTGTAAAGAGGAAAAACGGTGTTCTCATCTAAGACAACTCAAGGCCGCTTACAGCAGAAAAGCCCTTTGTAACAAGGTTAGCCTGTTCTACCCATCTCGTCATAACGGTATGATGTCTTGGGCTACGGTCTCTAGTAGAAAAGTTGAAAAAGTGTGACACAGTGACATACTGACAGTCGTATTTATTATATATTTATTATATATTTATTATATAGATGTGTACATAAAAGTTTGGCCGAAAAGCGACCTTCGCTTGTCAAGAGGACAAACGCAAGGCCGCTTATAGCAAGAATAATACAAGAAAGCCTTTTAGAACTAGGTCAGTCTGTTCTACCCATCCCGGCATCTGTAGCGGTATGATGTGCTGGTTTGGTTTGGTTTATTTTATTTTACGACATATCAACCTCAATAGGTTATTTAATGCCGATAACATTTTTAGGATACATTCCTATGAATAGAATATGTATTCTTTGGTTTAGATTGGTTTAGTTTATTTTGTTTTGGCATATCAACCTGAATGAGTTATTTAAGGCCGACAACACTTTTTATTGCTGGTAATATTTTGTTTTGTCAAAAACCTGTTTCTGGTAATATTTCTCCTTCAAAAGTTTTTTTTCAAAAATGTATTGCTGGTAATAGTTAACTATTTACCCATAGCTGGGACCCGAACACAGGTGGACCTGGGAACACCAGCAATTAGGAGGTGGTTCCACGCTTCTCAAAACCTCCTGATCAGAGGCCTTGCTGCTGGACATAGTTTATCATCTTACCCAGGGCGCGGATGTAGTTTAACGTCTTACCCAGGACGATGATGTGCTGGGCTAATGTCCCAAGTAGAAAAGTTGAAGAAGTGTGACACAGTGACATTTGCATTTATTATATAGATGTGTCCATAAAACTTTGTCCGAAAGCGCCGTATGCTCGTCAAGAGGAAAAAATGGTGCCCTCCTCTATGACAACGCAAGGCCGCTTACAGCAAGAAAAACACAGGAATTTTTTTTCGATCTAGTTTAGTCTGTTTATACCTCACGTGTCATATTTACCTGCACTTTACTGAATCATAAATAATTTCTTTTTTGGGAAATTAATTATCTACTAATCATTCGCGGCAATTAAAAACGAATTTGGAGTGGAGTCACATATCTTAGTTTGTGCGTAGCAGTGGCAGCGTACACAGTTGATTAAAGGGTTAATGTTGTTCTCGCAAGGCCGCTTACAGCAAGAATAACACATTTGGAACTCAGTCTGTTCTATCTCCACCTGCCATATTGACCTGACCTGGCACTAACCAATCCAACTTTTATACAAGTGCCATTAGCTTGAATCATACACTATTTCCATTTTAAACGAATTAATTGTAAGGAAAAATGTATCACAAAAAATATACTTTGACTCATTAATTGCCGTTTTGGGGAGTCAGCTATAATGATGTATCAACCTAACTAATAATTCTACCTGGCAGATACGAATAAATTTGGAGTATACTAGCATACCTTTTAGTTTTTTCATGACAGTGACAGCGTACACAGTGAATTAATGGAAGAATAGTCTTCTTATCTATGACAACGCAAGGCCGCTTACAGCAAGAATAATACAAGAAAACTTTTTCGGAACTAGGTTGATCTGTTTCTTCCTCACCTGCCATGATTACCTGAACTTGTACTAAGCGATTCTTTTTTGGTCATTAAAAATCCCTTTGATGGAGGTAAACTTTCTCTAATGATAACACATTCAAGAGTTTGCCGAAAATATCTTCACATAAAAAAAAAACAAAAAGCCATAGAATTTTACTCGAGAGATATCGAAAAGCTGCCGAATAAGTGGTAACAAGTCATTGCGATGATATAATTGAATAAAATAAAATTGTAGTTTAGCTTTTAAATAATAAACTTGATAAACAAAAACGGAAATAACGTAATGTTTTTCATTTAATTTTTTTTCTTGTAGTTTTATAATTTTCTTTTTTGGACATAAACCATGTAGAAATTTTCCGAATATTCTGTTTATTCGAGCGGTTTCGGCTATACTTTTAACCATTATCAAGGATGATTTTATTTTAATTTTAACTGTATGTATGGATTGTTTTATGTTTGTATCAAGAGTTCTATTTTGCAAAAAGAACTCATAAGGTCTGCCTGTTTAATCTTTTATCGTATTTTATTCTCTCTCTCTCTCTCTCTCTCTCTCTCTCTCTCTATATATATATATATATATATATATATGTAAGCAAATATATGGATATAAATCTGATAGTATGAAAGAAAAATACAGAAAAAAAAACAAAATTTTGTTTTTTTTTTTTTTATATTTATATATATATATATATATATATATATATATATATATATATATATATATATATATATATATATATATATATATATATATATATATATATATATATATATAGAATGAGAGAACAAAGCACGTCAGATCTATGACGGTTTTCCCGTAGGAGAACGCGGGTTCGAATCCTGACGGAGAGCGCATACTTTTCTCTAATATATATATATTCTCGTATATTCAGGCCGGTAGACAAAAGTAAATAAATATACAGTTTAATAAATAAACGGAGCTTTACTAAAATACGAGTATCCACTAAAAATAACGTAATAATTAATATATATATATATATATATATATATATAATTAATACGAATAAAATTTGTCACTGTCGCTGATTGATTTTGTATTCAGCGCTTTGATTCAAGAATTTCTTAGATTAACTTTTTTGTTATTTTTCAATCCACTCTTCAGGAGGTTTCAGCAATTGACTGCTGTTTTTCTCATTTTTCGTTATCTTTATACTATGTGTGTGTGTGTGCATGTGTGTGTGTTTATAGTTCAGATCCGCTCTAATCTTAATATGGGTTAATCCCTGGTATTTCTACAATCTTGCGTGGCGTAACACTGTTTGGTCCTCCCAGCAACCATCTATATTGATCAATTAAGTTATGACACAGGATACCACCTAATGAACTTTCAACTTTGATGCAGGACCGTGATCTTTGGCGTGACAGACTCGTGAATGTCCCAGCTAGAGCGACTGAATGAAATATAGTGTTTAGGCACATTTTTTAAATAAAGATCTGTCGAAAACGAAAACAGTTTTTATACACACGGATAATACTAAAAGTCTCTCTTTACAGTTAGGTTAAGTTGGCTAATTTCATGATATATGAACCATTTTGCTTTTAATTTTTTTTTTTTAATATCGAATAGGATGTGCAGTTGGTGTAAAAGACATCAGTGTGGACAGTGGAATCGGTTTGTCGGGATCAAATCCTGGCGTAGCTTGTGGCATCCATTGTCACGCAA